TTCATATTCACTTCACTTTCAATTCATTTGATATTCATTAATCTTAATGTAAAATAAATATCATGTGAATTGAAAGTGAAGTGAATAAATAGTGTATAGTAAATGCTAAAATAAAGTGAATATGAAGGGCAAGTGCAATACACGTTATTTCAAGTGAATTGAAAGTGAAGTAAAAATAAACTGAAGTAAAGTGTATGTGACGTGAAACTGAAGTAAAGCAATAGATAAATGCAAATAAAGCGCAACTGCAGTAACCCTAATAGCACAAGATATCTTGGGATATATTGATAATATCCCGCAGATATCCTATGGATGTCCTATGGATATCAAAAGGATCTCTTAAGGATATCCAAAAAATCGGCGGTTTGGATATCCTTAGGATATCCCATGGATATCTGAGGATATCCACATGATATCTTCTGGATATCTCTATAGACTTTCATAAATGTCCTCCAGATATCCCATAGATATTGTCAGGATATCCCACAGATATCATCAGGATATCCCACAGATATTTTCAGGATATTCTCAGTATATCTTCTGGATGTCAAGAAGATATTCTCAGGATACTGTTTTTAAAGTCATTATGAGACTACGAGTGAGAATATTCTGTGAATTAAATTTTATATAAATAAAATAAAATGCAACTTGTTTTTGCGAGAAAGTTGTTTAATTTGAAAAATTATTAACTAATTTTTTTCTCATTCGTGATTCATTCCTTTATTCATATACTTAATATTGTCAGAAAATAAATTGGCTTTAAACAATATAAATTCTTCCCCGCAAATAACGAATAACTATTATAATATTAATGATACATTAAGAGCATGAGTTTATTTAAAAACTTTGAAAAATGCGTTTCAAATCTTCATTTAAAATAAATTAGAAGCTCATAAGATTTTTCTTTTTATTATATTATTATTCATTATATTAGCTTAACAATTTTAACCTTTAAAAATATATGTTGAGATATTAAATATCCCGTGAATATCCTAAGAATATCCCACGGGAATCCTGAGGATATCCCATGAATATCCTGAGGATAACCCATGGATATCCTGCGATATAATATCCCGTGAATATCCTAAGAATATCCCACGGAAATCCTGAGGATATCCCATGAATATCCTGAGGATAACCCATGGATATCCTGCGATATAATATCCAATATATATTTTGTGGATGTCTTAGGGATATCCTGTGGATATCCTATGGATGTCCTGTTAATGTCCCACAGACCGGCGGTTTGGATGTCTTAGGGATATCCCAAGATATCCTGGGGACCATTCTAGGATATCGATCATTGATATGGATATCCTAGGGATATCCTTTTGTTATGAGGGAAATAACAAGTGAAAAAATTTCAAAATGATGTTAAAGTACAAGTGCAGTGAATATCAAGTGAATTGAAACTGAAGAGACGTGAAAAACTGAAAATTACGTAAATTCAATGTAAAGTGAAAATGTAGTGAAGCGATGTGAAAATAAAGTGAAATAAAAGTAAATTAAAGTAAAAATTACATAATACCGACATTTTTTGTGGAGAATTTTATTATTAAATCACTATTTACTGGGAAATAGATAAAAAAAAAATTATTGAACAATAATATTCTAAATTTAAAAACAAAAAATAAAATGTATCTCTGATTTACATTATGATAACAAAGTTAAGTATTGTGCAATACATGAGAAATAATGAAGCAATTAATTACATTTGCTTCACCAACAATGACACAAAGTTTAACCTCCAGAGGGCCGGGGTGGCCACTATAGTGGCCAGTTCCGGTGTACGGTTTTTTCTACCTTATATTGACTTCATAAGTAGTCAAATTTTCAATTTATAACATGGTGATTTTCAATTAAAAAATGCCGGCCCTCTAAAGGTTAAGGATAAGGATATACCATATATACAATATACATGTGAGGAGCAAGAAATTCTCCTTAGTCCAATTAACCTTCGCACGCGCGTCTCTTGATGCAACAGAAAATCTACTAGTGTTTGCACTTTAGGAAAGTGTCTTTACATTGTTTGTGTTTGAATTCTATATATATATATATATATAAGAGAGAATGGAAATATAGATTTTGTAGTTCTAGTTTTGTGCGGAGATGAAACATGGAATATGAAATAGATGGCAAGGAGCGCATTCAGTAAAGTCTTATTTCAACTGTATGTGTGCACATTCTACAAGTTTTGGGATATGTCGGAAATTGGTTACTTGAGATACAAGATGACAATGTTTCCTCAAAGTCTTTGCCGAACTAAATATATATATATATATGTATGGGAACTCTATCATTTCCTTTGCTAATTCATCTGATGAGTTGTGAAACTTGTTAATGTTTAATTATATAAAGCATCTCATGTATACTGAAAATAAAAAATTCATTCTATTTTCATTGATAATATTTTCTTTTCCAATATACTGAAAAAAATAACAATTTATCTGATTCAAATAATCCACTACTTAGGTATTATTAAATAATTTCTGTATTTGAAACAAATACCATGACTAAAAATAATAATTTTTTTATACAAATAATAATGTATTTGATACAAATAAATATTTATTTGATACAAGTAAATAATTATTTGATACAAGTATATATTTATTTGATACAAGTAAATAATTATTTGATACAAGTAAATATTTATTTAATACAAGCAACCGATTATTTGAAACAAATTCATTTTTTTCAAAAGTAAAACAACCTTTTTTCAAAAGGTCCATTAACAATGAATTCTCATCATTGAAACTAATAAACATTTTAATTCCACTTATCAATATATAGTTCCATTTGAAATTTCGAATTATCATCAAACAGTTTCATTCTAATTATTATTGGATAATTTCATTCTAATTATCATCCAACAATTGTCAAATTAATTATTATCATCATCGCAGCAGTACCTATATATATATATATAGTGTGAATAATCGATTAATTTTGATTCTAATTTTTCGAAAATTTGAAACATTTTCGTTTCTTTAGAATAACTGAAAAATTAATAATATGTTAATTTAAATGAAAATATAAAAAAAAATGAACGGAATATATTTGTGTGGAAAAAACTTAATTGCAACCATTTGTGGAATGTGGACATTAGCATATATTGCCAATGGAATAGATTTTAGTGTTGGTATATGTATATATATATAGATATGTTTCAGCAATACCATCAGCAACAACTTTAGCGGTACTATTCAATTTGGAATCCACATTTACATCGATATATTAGTATAAATATTATTAGTATTTACACTGCAGCAAATGTGCTTCTCTTTTTATTGTAATATATGTATGCAAAGTCCAATTTTAACCTTATCAACATCAAAATTATGTAATCAAAAGCATGATACGTTTTTGAAATATACAGAAGTGAAATAATTACAGATTCTAATTATAATTTTAAAATAACAGAATCTGATTATAATTTTATGATTACAGATGCTAATTATAATATTATATTTACAATTATCGAATTCTAATTCTAATTTTGATTCTGATTTTTATTTTAGTTTCTTAAATTCAAATTTTTATTCTGTACTGATTCTAATTCTAATTCTAATACTGATTTTAATTTTGAATTTAATTCTAATGCTGTATACTGATTCTAATTCTGATTTTCCTTCTGTATTGATTCTGTACTTATTCTGATTTTGATTCTGTACTTATTCTAATTCTAATTCTGATTTTGATTCTGTATTGATTCCAATTTAGATTCACATTTCTAAAATTTTGATTTTGATTCTGTACAGATTCTGATTCTACTTCTGGTTCTGAGTTTAATTTTGTATTGGTTCTAATTTTGAATCTGTTTTTGATATCTAAAATTCTGATTTTTATTCTGTACTGATTCTGTATTGATTCAAATTTTGATTCAGATTTCTAAAATTCTGATTTTGATTCCGTACGGATTCTAATACTAATTTTGGTTCTGCTTTTGATTTTGTACTGATTCTACTAATTTTGATTCTGATTTTAATTCTGATTTTGATTTCTGAAAATTCTGATTCTAATTTTAATTCTGTTCTGATTCTGATTTTGATAGATTCGGAATCTAATTTCAATTATATACGGATTCCTATTCTGATTTTGATACTCTACTAATTCTAATTTTGATTCTGATTCTGATTTCGATACTGTACTGATTCTTTTTTTGATTCTGGTTCTGATTTTTATTCTGTACTGATTCTAATTTTGAATTCGGTTTCTTAAATTCTGACTTTGATTCTGTATTGATTCCAATTTAGATTCAGATTTCTAAAATTCTGATTCTGATTTTGATTTTGTGCTGATTCTGATTTTAATTCAGTGCTGATTCTAATTTTGATTCTGATATTGATTCTTTTTCTGGTTTTGATTTTGATTCTGTACAGATTCTGATTCCAATTCTGGTTCTGAGTTTGATTTTGTACTGATTCTAATTTTGATTTTGTTTTTGATTTTTAAAATTCTGATTCTGATTCTAATTCTAATTTTGATTTCTGAAAATTCTGATTCTAATTTTAATTCTGTACTGATTCTGATTTTGATTGATTCTGAATCTAATTCCGATTCTATACGGATTCCTATTCTGATTTTGATACTTTACTGATTCTTATTTTGATTCTGTACCGATTCTAATTTTGAATCCGGTTTCTTAAATTCTGATTTTGATTGTGTACTAATTCTAATTTTCATTGTGATTTGATTTCTAAAATTTTGATTCTGATTTTAATTCTGTTCTGATTCTGATTGATTCTGAATCTAATTCTAATCCTGTACGGATTCCTATTCTGATTTCGATTCTGTACTGATTCTTATTTTGATTTTGATTTCTAAAATTCTGATTCTGATTTTATATTGATTCTAAATTTTATTTTAATTCGCTTACTGTTTCCAATATTGATTCTATTGTCTTAAATTCTGATTTCTAATTTCCAAAATTAAAACACCTATAACGAATATTATCAAATATAGAAAAATGAAAAAAAATCTTCTATTCATCATCTCACCTGTTCAATTTTGATGATGTCCACCGTCTGTCACGTGCGGAGGTCATGCGGCATTTTTCCCCTCCCTTCCAATCAAGAGAGGACTATTTCCAATAATTCCTTTATATTATCCAACAATAACACCTTTCTATGATAATAATAATAATAATAATAATAACAATAACACGTCTCAGATGTCACACTACATTTATTAAAAATAATTCGTGTCAACACTTTTCAAAAAAAAAAAAGAAATCCCCTATTTTAAAATTTATTTTCCTTCAAATCTAAAACTGGAATTTTTATAATAATTGGCAAGTGGTATTATTGCTCATTCTTCAGTTTACTCTCCTCATATTCCTTCAATATGAACCGCGCACTAATTGCGTCCAATTACCCCCACCTAACATTAATTACGAGTTTAATTACCACACACATACACACACACACACGCAGGTGGTGTTAAAAGCAGGAACAAAAGGGACGTTATTCACTTTAGAAATCTATTCACTTAGAAATCACGCGTAGAATTAAAAATCAGGTGGAAAAAAAATGGAAAATTAAAAATTATTTCATTTGTTTAAAAAGTAATTTGCTGTTTAGGAGAATTTTATCATTGATTTGCCTTTTTCTCTCTAAACGAGAAAGGTTTTTTGATGATTTATTTCAAATATGAGATCTGAGGGAAATGTCTTAATTATTAAATTCTCTGTTTTTAGTTATTAATAAGCAAATCCTGTTTTTGTACAATTGTTCTTTTTTTGATCACAATATCATCAATTTGGAATTCTTTTTTTTCGATTCCCTTTTTTCGATTTTTTTTCCTTTTGACGATTCTTTTTTTCACAGATCCTTAATGGAACAATTTTTTTTTTTCTGTAAAGTATTTCTATCGGCAGAAAAACACTAAATCAGCTAACAATTTTAATTATAGAACATCATCAGATTTCACAAATATTGATGATAGAATTATTATTATAGTTTTCTAATTGATGATATATCGAAGGATCACAACATCTTTATCAATTTATAAGATTCATCAGATCATCATTATCATCAAAAAAAAATCCTAATGTTCATCTCTAGAAAAGTGCTCATCATGAAAAGGACATCATTGCTAGAGGAAAATTTCACGAATACTATAGTTTTATCTACATTATAAATAGTTAATTTATCATAATTTCTATTGTATCACACTAAATTATTTCGTTATAATTGATATTTTGAAAACAATCAATTATTATTTATTGAGAGTTCATTAACCTTTAAAGGGTGAATGACCTAAACCACATGTGAAGGTTGATTTTGACTTTTGTCGCGTCAACTTGGAAATGGTTTTTTTGTTTTTGGAATTGTGAAACTTCACTTCTAAATGATGAATCGTGCGTCACGTTGGGCGAGTGAAAAAGGGGGAGAAGGTATTTTTTTTTTCGCGGGTGGAAGGGGGTGAAAAAGAAGAGAGAACAACCCTGCAACGAAGCGGGTTCTCGGAACGACTGAGGCTAGGGTCCTCGTTGAGAGGAGCTACCCCGCGAATAGTGGAATAGCGAAAGAGAGGCAGGAAGAGTGAAAGGATCGCGAGCAGCGCAGTCGCGCGAATTTTCAAGCTCAGTATTACAACATTAATTATGTCCTATTACCGGATATATATTTGTATAGAGAAAGAGAAAGAGAGAGAGAGAACAAGAGTGAGTGATAAATTTCCAAATATGTATAAAGTTGTAAAAATCGTTCGACTGTTTTGTATTTATGTAATTTATCACAAAAAAAGTTGTCTTATTGTTTTCATTAGATTGAACTAATTGTTTTTATCAAAAAGAATTATATATTTTCTTGCGAGCCTTGTCCTTTTTATTCTAATCATATTTTTTTGTGAAATAATAATAGCCTTGAATAATACTATATATATATATATATATATATATATATATATTTCACTTCAATTCACTTCACTTTTAGATAATTTTCATACTACTCTCACTTTTCTTCACTTCATTTCAGTTGACTTTCACTTTACTCTCACCTGTCACTTTATTTGACTTTTATTTTAATTTCACTTTATTTTCACTTGACTTTCAATTTTGACATGAAAATGAAGTGAAGCGATAGCAAAGTGCAATGAAGTAAAGTGAAAGTGCAGTGAATATCAAGAAAATTGAAACTAAACTAAAGAAAAGTAAAGTGACGTGAAATTAAAGTAAACCGGGAATTAAGAGAAGTGATTGTGACGTGAAAATGAAGTGAAACGATTACAAAGTGAAGTAATATGGCAGTGAATATCAAATGAAGTGAAATAAAGTAAAAAAGGAAGTAATATGAAAGTAAACTGATAATGAAGAAAAGTGAATGTGACGTGAAAATGAAGTGAAGTGAATTTAAAGTTAAAAAATAAGTGAATTGAAACTGCAGTGAATATCAAGTAAATTGAAACTTGAAATTAAAGAAAAGTAAAGTGACGTGAAATTAAAGTAAACTGGAAATCAAAAAAGTGAATATGACGTGAATATGAAGTAAACTGATAGCAAAGTGTAATGAAGTGAAGTGAAAGTGCAGTGAATATCAATAAAATTGGAACGGAACTGAAGAAATGTAAAATAACGTGAAATTAAAGTAAACGGGGAATTAAGAGAAGTGAATGTGACGTGAAAATGAAGTGAAACGATTGCAAAGTGCAAACAAAGTGAAGTAATAGTGCAGTGAATATCAAGTTATATGAAAGTTAACTGAAAATTAAGGAAAATAAATGTGATGTGAAAGTGAAGTGAAACTGCTGTGAATATCAAGTAAATCGAAACTTAACTAAAGAAAAGTAAAGTGACGTGAAATTAAAGCAAACTGGAAATCAAAAATGTGAATATGACGTGAAAATGAAGTGATGCAATTGCAATGTGCATATGAAGTGAAATAATATTACAGTAAATATGAAGTGAAGTGAAACTGAACTGAAGAAAAGTAAAGTAACCTGAAAATAAAGTAAACAATAATTGAAGAAAAGTAATAATAATATTAATAATAATTATATCCTTATTTTGTTTCCGGCAAATCATAAGTGACGTGAAAATTAAATAATATAATTTATCTTATTAATAATATAATATATAAAGTGAAGTAAATTCAAAATGATATTAATATGATGTGCAAGTGCAATAAAATATCAAGTGAAGTGAAAGTGAAGTGAAAGTGAAGTGAAAGTGAAGTGAAAGTGAAGTGAAAGTGAAGTGAAAGTGAAGTGAAAGTGAAGTGAAAGTGAAGTGAAAGTGAAGTGAAAGTGAAGTGAAAGTGAAGTGAAAGTGAAGTGAAAGTGAAGTGAAAGTGAAGTGAAAGTGAAGTGAAAGTGAAGTGAAAGTGAAGTGAAAGTGAATATATATTATAGAGTAGTAATTTCAATTTTTCAAAAATTTTAATAAAAAAAAGAAACTAAATAAATTTTAAAAATAAAACATTTTTATAATCATTAAAGTTCAATTTAAAATTATGTATTAAATATAGGCTTAAATAATATGAATTAAATTGAAAACTGATATATAGTTTAAGATGCTTCAACAAATAGAGAAATGATAAAAATCGGTAAGATTGTTTTTTAAGATGCGATTTCATAGTTGGATGAAGGATTAAATTTTCTACAAGGAAGAAATGCAGTGAAATTTTTTTTTTTTTGATCGATTATCGTTGAACCAAAAATATTACAATTTTCCACAAGATTTTCGCAAAGTAAATTTAAGCAGCTCTCTTTATATATTGAAAAATATTCTTCATGAAATCCTAAGAAAATTTCTGATATATTTATTATATAATAATACGAAAAAAAGTATAAAAGAAAGAAAAAAAAAGAGAGAGAGAGACAAAAAAGTATTTAAATATTTTTAAATTATGTAGAGAAACGAATCAGTTTTTGATCAATGAAAATAGCTTGTGATCGTAGGATTTAAAAACTCCTTTCAAAAAGTTAATATATATATATTGAAAAAACCTTAGTAAAGATAGATTTGAAAATTTGCAAGATTCTATATTATCATTATGTATATATATATATATATATATATATATATATATATATATATATATATATATATATGCTGAACGTTTGAAATGATTTCTCCATCAAGGAAGTTTAAATACAATTCAAGGAGCTTTACGTGAATAGAAAAAGCTCGTAAAAAAGCCCATTTGTAATAGGGATGAAAAGCTTAATATCCATCTTAAAGGGAAAGAATATAAAAAACTCATAAAGAAGGGTCCAGGAAAATTTAAGAAAGATGTATTTTCAAAATTTTGAACAATACAGCAATATATTGCAATATATTAGACGCTTTTATTGCCTTGCAAGATAATCTACTTTTATTTTGTTGTTTATTTTTTTATTACTCCAAATATTTAGTTTAGATAAAATACCACCCCAAAAAAAAATACTTCAACAATTTATATGCAATTTTATTATAACTTTTTTTTATTAGCATTTTCTTTTTTTCTATTTTTTTTTTTTTTTTTTGAGACATTGAAAATGATTGATGAAAATGTAAAGTATGCGTGACCAACAAGACAGGTGCCTGCCTATATACACGTGTACAATTTGAATCAGGTAATAACTACTTTTATTATATACTTAAATTAAAGAAAATATTTTTTATTATTCAAGACATATGTGACAAATATATATATATATATCTATATATATTATATTGTACTTTCGGATGACTTCAGGTGTTCATAATTTATTTATTGATGGTATCATTCATTAGTTGCAACAATTATAGAACAAAAAAAAATTAAAGAAATACAAACCATAACATTGACAATTGCGATAATAACATCAATAACAAATAAAACATAACATCAGTAAAAAACATCAATAGTAACCATAATTATACCAATAACAATAGCAATAGCAACAACAACAGAAAAAACAACCATAACAATGACAAATAAATATCGATAACAATAAATACAATAGCAACAGTATCCACAACTATAACTGAAGCAATAGCAATAGCAATAGCAATAACAATAGCAATAGCAATAGCAATAGCAATAGCAATAGCAATAGCAATAGCAATAGCAATAGCAATAGCAATAGCAATAGCAATAGCAATAGCAATAGCAATAGCAATAGCAATAGCAATAGCAATAGCAATAGCAATAGCAATAGCAATAGCAATAGCAATAGCAATAGCAATAGCAATAGCAATAGCAATAGCAATAGCAATAGCAATAGCAATAGCAATAGCAATAGCAATAGCAAAATTTATGGCTATAGCAACATTAATGTCAAAAGCAATAGCAACATTAATAGCAATAGCAATAGCAAAAATAATAGCAATAGCAACATTAATATCAATAGCAAAATTTATGGCAATAGCAACATTAATGTCAATAGCAACATTAATGTCAATAGCAACATTAATAGCAATAGCAACATTAATGTCAATAGCAACATTAATAGCAATATCAATACCAAAAATAATAGCAATAGCAACATTAATGTCAATAGCAACATTAATAGCAATATCAATAGCAAAAATAATAGCAATAGCAACATTTATGGCAATAGCAACATTAATGGCAAAAGCAACATTAATAGCAATATCAATAGCAAAAATAATAGCAATAGCAACATTTATGGCTATAGCAACATTAATGGCAATAGCAATAGCAACATTAATAGCAATAGCAATAGCAACATTAATAGCAATAGCAAAAATAATAGCAATAGCAATAGCAAAAGCAACATTAATAGTAATAGCAACATTAATGGCAATAGCAACATTAATGGCAATAACAATAGCAACATTAATACCAATAGCAATAGCAACATTAATACCAATAGCAATAGCAACATTAATAGAAATAGAAACATAAATAACACCAACTCCATCAATAGCAATAACAAGGATGACTAGAACAATAACATCAACAATAGCGATAACAACGCAAATATCAGCAATGTTAAAGATAACAATAGTTGAATCAAAAACAAAAGCAATAACAAGAACAATTGCAATAATTACAAAGTGAATTTGATTTGGTCAAGATTTTTGCCTCTCATGAAATGCAAATAAACAATAGAATTCTATGAAACTGCAAAAAAAGAAATGTAAAAAAAAATTGAAAGAAACGTAAGTCTGCGTGTTGGAAACAATTTTCCTTCGTCCAATGTAATACATGTTTACAGTGCTCGAGTCTTCCAAGTCACTTAGGTGAAAACGAGCCTGGAGGAACTTTAAACTGATTCGCTAAGATCGCGCTCAAGGATCTCGTGACTTGCGGCACTTTTAGATTTTGAGGGAATGGGATAGAAGCGGAAAGTGACGCGGGGAATTGTGGGAAGTGTAACATCCTTTTTATGTCCGCAAAGAAAAACCTATAACACGATCATTATATATATATATATATATATATATATATATATATATAGATAGATAGATAGCGGTCGATGAAATTCTTCATTCGATCTAAGTTTTCTATAGTTCTCCTTTCTCTCTTATCA